AGAGCAGACTTGTCCTTGTCTGGTGGTTCTCTCCAGCCAATGGCTGGATGTCAGAGAATGGTGGAATCAGTCCGGGACAGTCAGCAAGGTGGCCAGTCTCACTGATGTCCTTGGAGCAAAAAATCTTTAATGTGGCAGGACAAGCAATTTAAATACAGTTCTAAGTTGGTGGTGTACATTTGTGATTAGTTCCACCCAGTGAAAGTCAATGTCCATTGTTACGTCTGGTGAGGTGATATAATTGCAACTGGGCATGTTCTTCGTGCATGTCCATGGAGCTGTGCTCCCTATCAGTTGTAACCAGTCATTGCTAAACTTGCCTATAGCTAGTGTCCTTTACAGCTCCTTATCAATTGCAAGCAGACATGACTAAGCATGTCAATGGCTGCTGTTCCTTATGGCCAGCAACTTAGTGAATCCCAGCATGTCCCAGCATGTCTATGGCAGATGCTCCTTACAGTGTGGAAGGGGACCCTTGGAGTTGAGGCTTATTTTTTTTCTCAGTGTCCCCATACTTAACGTTGTGCCTGCCTCATAATAGGCAATTAAGATTTTTTTTAAGTTAGATATGGTCCTTTTTCTTTTGTCCTTTATTTATTTATCTTTATGTGTTGCTGAGGATCAAACACAGGGTGAGGCAAGTGCTCTACCATGAGATACAACTCCAGCCCAGGCAATTAAGATTTTTAAAGTAGAATTTCTTTTATTTTCTCTAAACAACTTCTAATATTCTCTACTGTGGTAGGGGATACAAATGCAAAACATAGTATACATATTAGGAGACCTAGTCCAGTTAGTACCATATCTTGGTGGTTAGGAGCATGAACCCCTAAATTATCTTCCCTGAGATCATGCCCACCTATGCTTCCTATTTTTTTTTTAGTTGTTGAAGGACCTTTATTTTATTTATATGTGGTGCTGAGACTCGAACCCAGTGCCTTGCACATGTAGGTAAGTACTTTGCTTCTGAGCCACAATCTCAGCCTCCTTTGCTTCGTATTAATCATGTCACTTTGGGAAAATTCTCTCCTGTTCTGTGCCTTAATTTCTCACCTGTAAAATGGATGTAAAAACAGATCCCATTCCTTAATGTTATGATGAGGATCGAATGAATTAGTATTTGAACAATGTTTGAATTATGTCTGGTGAGTTAATAAGGCAATGCTGTATAAGTGTTGTCAGTGTTATTGTGATTATTGGGTCATTGTTATTAAATCAGTGAAAAGTTTCCTGTTCTCTGCTCTCCCTAATAGCCCAAATCTTTCCCGGGGGATTCCAGTATTAACAAGGATCTGTTTTGGTGGAACAGAGGTTGTGGCCAAAGATATATAAATTAATAAAGTTTAATCCCAGGTTATGGTGCTTGAACCTGGAATCCTAGTCACCCAAGCCTAAAGGACAGGTGCCTTCCTTAATCACCTCAGCCTTTGGACTCCTGAAGGCTTTAACACTCTATTCTTTTATGGAAAATGGTGGCAACAAAAAGAAAGTCCCAAATGCAGATACAAAAAGATGAAAAAAAAAATACTACAATCAAAACAAACAGGGGAAAGGTTGAGATTTGCATACTATCCATTTACTGAAATGAATCTTAGGATGTTTTCTTTCTTCAGGGTATCATCACCTTTTATTAGGTCTATCCCAACACATTTGTAACAGGTCTTCTCCAATTCATCTTATAGTGATTTGTTAAAATTTAAAATTTAGTCATGTCTGCTTGCAATTTGTTAAAATTCAAATTCTGGTTTAGTAGTTCCAGAGCAGGGTTCTCAATTCTGCACATCTGAATTGCAGGGGGTGGGGGTGGGGGATAAAAATAGTTGATACACAGAACTTCTGATTCACTTTGATGTATGGACGGGACATCAGGATTTAAAAAATCTCCTAAAATCCCAGGCACCATGGTATACCCTGTAATTCCAGTATGGGAAGTTGAGGTAGGAGGATCATAAGTTCAAAGCCAATCTCAGCAATTTAGTGAGGCTAAGCAACTTAGTGAAGTTCTAAGCAACTTAGTGAGATCCTTCCTGTCTCACAATAAAAAAAAAATCTATAATTATTTCAATATTAATTCTATTGGCCAGGTGCAGTGGGGAATTCCTGAAATCCTAGTGGCTTGGGAGGCGGAGGCAGGAGGATAGCAAGTTCAAAGCCAGCCTCAGTAACTTAGTGATGCCCTAAACAATTTAGTGAAACCCTATCTCAAAATAAAATATATTTTAGAGAAAGGGCTGGGCATGTGGTTCAGTGGTTAAGTGCCCCTGAGTTCAACCCCTAGTATTCCACCCCAACCCCTACAAAAACAACAACAAAAATCTATTGTCATATATAAATGAAAAAAGAACCAATAAAAAACTGTGACCAAATTTTAAAAAATACAATAAACAAAAAATAAATAAATAAAAGGATTGGGGATGCTGGGGATGTGGTTCAGGGGTTAAGAGCACCTGTATTCAATAGCTGGTAACAATAAACAAATAAATGCAAGCTCCACAAACATTTTTTCTGTGTGATCAAGGTTGAGAACAACTGCCTAAATGTGTGTACAAATCATTGGAACCTTGTTAAAATGCAAATCCTGGTTTAGTAGTTCCAGAATTATGGTCTGATTATGTGTTTCTAATGAACTGCCAGGCAATGCAGATTCTGCTTGCCCACAGACCACACTTTAAGTAGCACAAGCTTGGAGAGCATGGTAATATAATTCCCTTGCTCAATAAAATTGGTGGGTGTGGTGATGCATCCCTGTAACCCCAGCTACTTGGTGAGTGGGGCAGAGGGATCGAAAGTTCAAGTTCAGCCTGGGCAACTTAGCCCCCATCTCAAAATAAAATGTCTAGGAATGTAGCTCAGTGGTAGAGCACCCTTGAGTTCAATCTCCAGTACATATGTACATATATAAAATCATAGGCATCTGCTGGGCCTATGATTATATATATTACACCTGTAATACTAGAAGTTGGGAAGCTGAGGCAGGAGAGTTTTGAGTTCAAACCAGCCTCAGCAATTTAGTGAGGCCCTAAGCAAATCAGTGACACCCTGTCTCTAAATAAAATATAAAAAAAGGGCTGGGGAGGCTGGGGTTGTGGCTCAGCAGTAGAGCACTCACCTAGCTTGTGCGAGGTGCTGGGTTCAATCCTCAGCACCACATAAAAATAAGTAAATAAAATAAAGGTATTGTGTTCAAGTACAACCAAAAAATATTTAAGAGGTGGGGGGTCTGAGGATGTGGCTCAATGGTTAAGTGCCCCCCTGAGTTCCATCTCTGATACAAAAAAAAAAAAAAAAAACCAACCAAACAAACAAAAACACATAGGTTTCCTCTTTTCCGTGTAAGAAGATCTCCAACCCCGCTGCCTGGCATCATAGAAGCAGTAAATGCCCTCTAACATCATTGGTTCTCAAATGCAATTGATCATCTGAATGACCTAGGGCAGGTAGAAAAATCTACAGATTCCTGGATCCCCCGCCAAACTTATTAAATCACAATATTCAAGGTGACATCTGCATAAGGGTATTTTGAAAACACTTTCCAAGTAGTATGCATTGTAAACAAACTTTAGGTACTTCAACATGCTTTCAATATAGTTTTCCATTATTCAGTCAACAAACATTAATTGCACCTGCACTAGGGGGGAAAAGATGAAAATAGTGCCACCCTTACCTTTGAGGGGTTGGCAATATAAATGACCTAATGAGAAGATTTAATATTCCCAATGCATAAACACATCTGCTAAAGGTTTTGTCTTTTGAAGAATGTGTGGGTCCTCAGTACCCCATCATTGTTCATCTTGATCAAAAGGACAGACAACCTCCTTACCCCTTTGAGTTTTCATAGTTCTCTCTTTGAACTTGCTCTCCTTCTCCTTGGTATTAAAATAGACCCAAAGAGGAACAAGGATTTACCCAAAGTGAAATAAAAACAATATATCATATTTATATGGTGACTTCTGCGTCCCTTTTGTTCTATGCACATTACAGATGTAATTTTAAAAAATTCTCTTAATAGGCTGATATGGTGGTGCACACCTATAATCTCAGCCACTAGGGAGGCTGAGGCAGAAGGATCCCAATACAAGGCTAACCTCTGCTGGATGAGCACTCCTGGATTCTATCCCTGGTATAAACAAACAAACAAACAAACACCCGCCCAATTATGACATAGGTATTATTACTGTCCCTACTCTGTAAACAAGAAAAGGGAGAGACAAAAGAACCAAAGGCAGAACTTTTTCTCTGATATGCTGATGCTAACTCACAATAAGGGGGGCAATGCCCAGGGAAGAAAAGAGTCCATTTGAATTAGAGGGGAGGGAAAGGAGGAAAGGGGTGTGGGGCAGGAAGGATAGTAGAAGGAATCATTACCCTATGTGTATATACAATTACAAAACCAGTGTAACTCTACATCATGTACAACCAGAAGATTGAGAAGCTATACTCCATTTATGTATGAAGTGTCAAAATGCATCCCACTGTCATGTATAACTACTTAGAACAAAAATAAATAAATAAAAAATATTTTTAAAAAACGAAAAGGGAGAGACAGGAAAATAACCCACCCAAAAGCATATCCAGCAGGATTTACTCTTAAGCCTAGGCTGCACTGAAATTAGTGTAACTTCTAATTCCTGGGTCTGAGCATCTTCCCGGTAACCAATCATACGAGTGCTGCTTCACACCTCAGATTCAAGCATTAGGGAAGGATTGTGTTGCATCACTCACAGTGCCTGGTCGGGGTGCAAGCGCTTAGTAGGCGCTCGATAAATGGTAAGTAGATAGGGTGAGCCACCGTGGAAAGGGAGGAATGGATGGATGATGATTTCAACCAACCAACCAAGCAGCAGCCTGCGGCCTCGCTACCACTAGATCGCCCCCCCCCCTTGCCCCAAATAGGAGGACCCTCCATCCAGTTCTCCTTCTGAGTGACCCTCATCCAGCTGCGGCTCTGCGCTCTGTCCTCCCAGCCAGCAGGTGCCCCCAGGCCCCTGGCTCCTCCTCCTCCTCCTCTGTCACAGTCTCGTCCTCTCCCCCTCCTTCTGCTGCTTCCTGTTGCTGCGGCCCGGGCCTGGGTTGTGGGCGCCGAGGCGCCGGAGGCTTCCCGGTGCGCTCCGCAGGTAACCGCGCGGGCGTGCCGCCCGGCGGGTTGGGTACCGTCTGGCTCGGGCGCGGGGGTCCCAGCCCGTGCGGCCCGTGGAAGGGACCGAGGCGGGCGGGCGGCAGGGCCGGCCTGGCCTCGGGCCGGGAGGGACTCCTCCTGCCCGTGGGAGCCGGGGCCTCTGCGCCAGGCTCCGGGCGCCCGGCCGGGTGCCGGGATAACGGTCCAGGGCTCCGGGGCTCGGCGCCGGGCGTGGCCGCCTGCTGCAGGCGCGGCGGAGCGGGGATGTCACGGCGCTCTGCTCGCAGCCGGCCACGCCTGCTCCGAGAAGGAGCCAGCCCCTCGCCCTCCTCGCCTGCCCGGCCTGGGGCGCCCGCCGCCGCAGAGGAGCCTCGGCTTCCGAACCGCCAGGGCCATCGAGAGACCCCCAGTTCATCCACAACGCCGGCACCCAGACACGCAGCTCCCAAGGTCACAGAGTTGCATCTGCCATTTACAAATGTCCCTTCTTTGCTCTGGTGTGCCAGGGAATTAGGATTCAGAGAAGAGGACTCTAAAAATACTAATCGCCATGTCCAAACTGATCCGCCTTACTGGCCGTGACTCTGGCCTTCAAAAGGAAATAAGGGGAACCCTTCTTTTCATTCCTAATACTTTGTCTTTCTGTTCCTTGCTCTGAAAATTGGCCTTGAAGTTTTGCAAAATTTGTCTTAGAACTCCATGTCAGAGCTGGACTGGACTAGAGAGTTCTCCAAGTCCTTTTTTTTTTTCTTTCCTCCCGTTTATCTTCTGTTTTGTTTTTGTTTTAGGAAAAACAGTCTCTGCCATTGAAGTGATTTGCCCACACTCATGCTGCTAGCTTAGGGCAGAGACCCAATGAAACTTAGGTCTTTTATGGACACCTGCTGTTTTCTTGAATGGAAATCTGATTTCAGATGAAAGCTGTACAGAACTTGACCTTCATAAAGTCCTCTCTGGATAACATTCTTGGGAGTGTCTTGTGTATTGAAGTGTGTTGGTCCACAGATACTATTTCACTTGTCAGAATAGGGTTAAGCACTAAGAGTAGCCATGCAGAAAATTCCTGCTGAGATGAGACAGATACCTGAAATACTTTTGACTTTTTTTTTATTTGTATTTTCAACAGAGGAGCTAGTGAATATTAATAATGGCATCTTGGTCATTTTTGGATTTTATTTCTGTATGGCCAAATTCACTCAATAGTTGTTCTTTTTTTTTTCCCAATAGTTGTTCTTGTCCAAACTTAAATTAAGTAAAAATTCCAAAGTGTAACTTTATGATTTTTGTTTCATTTTTTTAACTGAATAATTGCCTTACAGGTTTTTTTTTTTTTTTTTTTTTTACATCTCAATAAAAACTCCTCTTGTGCCTCAAAATTCTTGTTCCCTAGTGGTTGATTTGGATTTCAGAATAGACTACAACTTGGATTTTTCCAGACACCCTTCCAGGATGTCTGGACTCTTGGTTCAGTTCTATATTTTAGTTTACCTCAAATTTTGATTTTCACTGATAAACCCGTGACCCAAATCCAAACCTCAGCTGAATTTAGTTTCAGCTTAAAACCACATGAAACTGTCACATGTCATGTGACTTCTAGCAGAAACCAAAGTGTTGTGCTTTTTCATGAGAACTATGCACTGAGATTTTTGAGATGTGAATACATCATCAGATATATGTACTGTATTTTCTGGGTATTATTGTCAAAGGTTGGTCATTGCCAGAGGGTTATTGTTGACATCTGCTCATTATAATATGTTGTTTTAGTCAGCATTTGTGTCACTGTGGCCAAAATACTTGACAAGAAAACTTTGAGGGGGAAAAATGTATTTTGGCTCACGATATCAGAGGTCTCAGTCCATAGATGGTTGACTCCATTGTTTTGGATCCAAGATGAGGAAGAACATGGTGGGGAAGGATGTGACAGAGGACAACCAGGAAGCAGAGAAAAAGAGAGAAAGGGATCTGTGAAGGGTGCACCCTTCCAGAGCACGCCCCCAGTGACCCATCTCTTCCAGCCATGCCCCACCAGCCTACAGTGACCACCCATTTAGTCCATTCCAACCAGGATGGACTGATTAGGTCACAGCTCTCACAATTCAATCATTCCATCTCTGATCATTCCTGTATTAGCAGACGAGCTTTGGGGGGACATCTCCTATACAAACCATAACGTATGATATTAGAATGCAGTTCCCAGTTTCATTTACAGTTTTCACCACTGGCCAACATGTTATCTCTAAGGACCCTGGAGTGGTACATATATAGCCATACTGCAATAGAAGATTCTTGTATATGTAGACAAGGAAGAAGCATTTCAGTAAAAGCGCTGCTTTTGAACTATTCGATAACAGTAATGAGGACCTGTATACAGAACACCCCAGTGCTGTTTTCTTAGGGTGCATCCACTGTTCTCTGGTTTTGGTCTTTTTGTCATAGGATGGCAGTGGCAATGTGTCTGCAGGTGCTGTGCAGTCTCTGTGGCTGGCTCTCGATCTATGCATCTTTCTGTCACCTGAATAAGCACCGAAGCTATGAGTGGAGCTGCCGACTGGTGACGTTCACCCATGGAGTCCTCTCTATAGTCCTTTCAGCTTATATTGGCTTCATCGATGGTCCTTGGCCTTTTACCCACCCAGGTAGGTAGAGGACATTAGGAATCTTTCCATAGCGATTCATGATTTCGGGGGTAGTTTTAGAGGAATGGGATCAAGGTGGTGGAAGATGTGTTGGTTTCTTCTGAGGCCTCTCTCCTTGGCTGGTAGATGGCTGCCCTCTCATATGGTCACCCCGCTGTGTTTGTGTGTGTGTCCTAATCTCTTATAAAGACATCGATCATAATGGATTAGGGATCACCCAGATGACCCTATTTGAACTGAGTTACCTTCTTAAAGGTCCCATCTCTAAATATTGTCACATTTTGAGGTACAAGAGGCTAGAGCTTTAACATAAGAATTTGGGGAACACAATTCAACCCACAATTCCACTGGAATATTAAATATTAAATATAATATAAATATATTATATTAAATATAATATAAATTCCATAGATTTTTTAAAAAAATTTCCTTAGATTCCCAAATTGAGTGTCCAAGTTTTCCCCAAATCTGTCAAATTGAGGTGAAAGGGTTTTTTAAGCTTTGTTTTATATGATGGTTCTTAATGGTTTCAAGCATATCAGATTCTTGCACCCTATGTGCTTGGACATGGGAATATCCTAATTTGGGGGGTTCTTTCCAGAGTCTGCTTTCAAAATGGTTAGTGCTACTAGTGTCCAATAACTTAATCCATTAAGTTAAGAAATTTATCTGACATTTAGGACAGAATGACCCAAGTGTGGAAATAGATCTTTATCTGGTTAAAGAAAAGAGGAAAGCCAGGCATAGTGGCCTCTTGCCTGTAATCCCAGCAACTCAGGAGGCCAAGGCAGTAGGATTGCAACTTTGAGGCCAGCCTCAGCAATTGAGTGAGGCTCTAAGCAACTAAAAATAATGTCTCAAAATAAAAAAATAAAAAAGGAACCTTAGCTCAGTGGTAAAGCTCCTAGGTTCAATCCCCAGTACCAAGAAAAAAATTTAAATTAAAAAAATAAAAGAGGAAAAAATCCTTGATTTTAATTGGAAGAACATACTGACTTGATTTTATAGTGTTCTATAGAGAGGACCCTGAGATTATTGACTGCGGAGAACACTCCTTGTTCTGATTCATTAGAACGGCATTTTCTGGGGCCAACATCATTCAGTTTGATAAAGATCAAGGTTTTAGATTTTAGTCTTTGTTGTTATCATTCAAAAGCTTGCGCCTGCCATAATTTTTTGTATCCTTCAGTGATTCTGTAAGGTTTGAAAGAACAATGTAGGATCACTGTGCAAGATGGCACAATCCCCAATTACTCAATTTGCTTCTGTCTTGGTTTGTTTCAGGCTCACCCAACACACCTCTCCAAGTTCACGTTCTCTGTCTCACCTTGGGCTACTTCATTTTCGACTTGGGCTGGTGTATCTACTTCCAGTCTGAGGGTGCCCTGATGCTGGCTCACCATACACTGAGTATCTTGGGCATTATCATGGCCCTGGTGCTTGGGGAGTCAGGCACAGAAGTCAATGCAGTCCTTTTTGGAAGTGAGATCACCAACCCCTTGCTCCAGATACGCTGGTTTCTCCGTGAAACAGGACACTATCACAGTTTCACTGGAGATGTGGTGGATTTCCTTTTTGTGGCTCTGTTCACTGGAGTGAGGATTGGTGTAGGAGCTCGCCTGCTTTTCTGTGAAATGGTCTCCCCCACACCCAAGTGGTTTGTGAAAGTCGGGGGAGTAGCGATGTATGCTGTGTCTTGGTGTTTTATGTTTAGCATCTGGCGTTTTGCATGGAAGAAAAGCATCAAGAAGTACCATGCCTGGAGAAGGAGGCGGAGTGAGGAACGGCAGCTAAAACATAATGGACATCTCAAAACACACTAGCCAAGGCTTGCTTCCGATATTGGATCGGACTGAGTCAGCCATGGGAACTAGGTCGGAAATCTGACTGTCGTGGAATCATGCTCATAACAAATTTCGGTTTCAAAAAAGGGCTAAATTTATTGATCACTTTGGTCAGTCTTCAAGCCTAGCATATACAGTATTAAAACAGTAACTTCTACAATGGCACAGTTGTGGAAAGTGAGAATCCTCAGTGATTGCTGGGAAGATGTCAGGATCATGAGGTAAGAACTACTGGCGTTTTCAAAACACAGTGACCTTGGGTCCTCTTATCCTTGGGAAGCATGATATTCAGATAGCCTTGAAAGAAACTGGAAGAAGTTTAGTACTGTTTCTTGTTCCTTTGGGAATTTCTTCAGCATATACTTGTTCCTGCTTTTCATGTAGCCCATTTATTTAAGTTCATTCCATGTACTATAAAGTGAGGGACATTCAGAAAGAGATGTACATTTGGCATTCTGAGCACTGATCGGAGAATTGGATCTGCTTAAACAAAACGTGATAAGAGGTGAGTGAAACTGGCAGTGGTAGGTGGTCACTTCCTGAACCTCCCTGTGCCCGCTGTGTTGGAGGTCCCCAAGACTACCCCCTGGGTTCCATAATTTACTAGGAGGACTTAGAGGGCTCAACATACAGTCTCACTCACAACTTTGATTTATGATAGTAAAAGGATACAAAGTAAAATTATCAAAGGGAAAAGGCACCTGGGACCAAGGGAAACCAGACACAAACTTCTAGAGTCTTCTTCCATTTGGATCACACAGGATGTGCTTAATTCTTCTGGAAATATTTTGTGACAACATATGAGAAATATTGCCTATCACGGAAAGTTATTAAAGACTCAGTGCCTAAGATTTCTACTGGCGACTGGTCATATAGGCAGCCTCTTGGCATGTAGCAAGATTCAAGATTCCCAAAAGGAAAACAGCATTCAGCACAAGCCCTGTTGTTCCCACACACACACAAAAATAAGGGACAATGAGCCAGTCTTTTAAAATTTTATTATTATGATGATTATTATTTACTTTTTGGTATTAAGGATGGAACCCAGGGGGTCTTTTCCACTGAGCTATATCTCTAGCCCTTCTAATTTTGAGACAGATTCTTCCTTAAATTGCTGAGGGTCTTGCTAAGTTGCTGAGGCTGGCCTCAAGTTTGTGATCACCCTGCCTCAATCTCTTGAATCATTGGGATAATAGGCATGTGTCACCATGCCCAGCTGAGCCAGGCTTATCAGTGAATGGTGAGAGCCCTTCATAATCTAAGTTCCCAGATGCCCATCAAGGGCCAACCTTGTAGGCCTTTCCGAGAAGAGCAGGTCGGGTCTGTTACATTAACTTTTTTTGCACAAAAATCATAAGAGCCAGAACTTTGGATATGAGATGAATGAGGTGTGGGTAGATTTACTGAGTCCTGTTGTACGGGTTTTGCCCAACCAGGAAAACTATGCCAGTTCTCGGGGCTTTTGTGCATTAATCTCCTAGGCATGAGAGGCCATGACTAAATTCCATAGGGATTTACCATGTGGATTCCACTGTGCTTGAGATGGGAGTTCAGGTTTCAGCTCTGAGTACGTGTTGCAAACTAGAACCAAAGACTTTTTAATGTGTGGCCTCAGGGTGATAAGGCTAATTTCTTTTCTTTTTTGCATTTCAGGTACGTTCCCTTTTAGTACTCTTACTACTTGTTGTCCTTTCTCTAAAACTGGTGCCAGTCTCTAAGAACAAACTAAAATGACAAGGCCAGTCTTGGAAGGGAATTTTTTTTTTTTTTTTAGTGTGATAATCTTTAATCTCACATAGGAGGAACATAAATACGAATTTAGAACAAGGGGTTAGGAATCAAGAATTCCTGAGTTTACTTTAACTGATTTTGCTATTCCCTTGCCAGATCATTTAAGCATGTCACTTGTCTACTCTTGTTCTCAATTTAAACCCCAGGTGAATGAATGAAATACTCTGTATTTCACAGAGATATTATGTGGCATTTTGTTAATGGAGGCCTTTAATGTAGGGTTTTTATGAAAAAGATGAAGTAGTATTTATTTATGTATTTATTGCTTATTTATTTTTACCATCTTATTTGATCAATGGTGATTGGTTAATCCGTTGGTGAGTAAGCAAATAGTGCTACTGAAGTCAAGGTCAACAGGAAGTATCAGTCCATGGCCACTGGAGATACTAACCTAATAAGTGGTCTTGAAAATGAAAATCATTGGCCTCAGAAACTGAGGACAGGGAAGCTCTAATACTGCATAAAGTTATTACTGCAAAGGAAAAAGTAACTTTAAAGGCACATTAAAACGACTGTAATTTAGTTAAAGAGTTTTGCTGGACATTGAAATAATCTGACAGCGTCTCCACCTCTTTATGATTAGTATCCCTAAAATGTTGGTGAACTTCTTTCCAGCAAAATTGTGGGCAAAGTAGGATGTGGGGGAATGCTGATTTCAGCAAAAGCCTAGCAGAAAAGAGTGGCTTGGCGCATGAACTTAAAATAAAAAGAAAAAGCTGGCTGTTGAATTTTGGCACTCTGCAACCTGTTCCATACCAGACAAATGAATAGGCTTAATCTGGTACCAGTTCTTTTCTCCCTTACCCATCAGACGTAAAGGGATTGCAGATCTTGCTGTTGGGGTACTCTCATGGGAATGTGTTTGTTTTTGTTTCATAATGAGAAATCTGAATAAATGCTGGGTGGGGGGGATCCCTCATTTCAGCTCTTTTGGTTTTGTGCTAATAACTGAAGAAATTTCTCTGGGAGAAAAGTGTGAAATGAAGATGACTCAGCAGTTAAGGTGTTGAGTTTTTGCACTACAAGTAGATAAAGGGCTAATTAACCTGTGGTCTGGCCTGACAAAATGAAGTACTCATTTGCATTTGGATTACTATGTAATAATAACTAACACTGCTCAAGAAGGATTTATATTTCGATAAGATTTGTACTAAATTTTATAAAAAATAAAATAACATTTTATAAATTCAGAGTCTGCCCTTATGTCTTTGTTGAGTTTTGCCAAGAAGTTACAAAATAAATAAAAAGAGGAAAGAAGCCCAGTAGTTGCCTTTGACTTATAGAAATGTTGATTCCTGTTTACATTTACTGGTAAAATATCTCTAATCTGCTGTTTAACATTAATCATTCCTACAATATTTTTATTTGGGGGAGAGGCAATAACCAACATACAGAAAAGAGTTTGCCAAAAGAGGAAGAACTTAATTCTTTCTAGTTCTGCCACCTGTTTGGGCAGTTCCCTTGAATATGATGATGTTGAATGGGTCCTTGAAGACAGAGCTTCTGGCCATCTCAAGGCCTGAACTTCCAGGGCCTGTAACAGTCCTTGACACATAGTAGGTACATAATAAGCATGCTGAAAAACTGGATGACAGAATGAGGATGTGGTTTAGAATAACTCCTATTGGAAAAACCTCTCAAAGAGTCTGATTAGTGGTCTGGGTCACCACTGTCACTTTTCTGGGCATAGGACTCTAACCTAAGGGAGAGTATTCTATGTGGGCCAGCTTGACTCTTCTGAAGAACTTTCATACACAGAGTCTTTAGAATAGTGGCTCTACCAAAACTGTAAGTTGTTGCTTTTATCACTAGTGTTTTGTGGGTGATTATAGAGATTTTCATTATTAAAAAAAAGTGTAGGGGGCTAGGGTTGTAGCTCAGTGGTGGAGTGCTTGCTTAGCATGTGTGAGGCACTGGGTTCACCACATAAAACACCACATAAAAATACTGTGTGTTCATCTACAGCTAAAAAAATTTTTTAAAAGTGTAGTTCTGGGATGAATAACCATTAGTTTTTCAATTCTTTTTTTAACCATCTTCTGAAGCTTTCCCACAGCCTTCTTTGCTCACAGCTAGAACCTTAGGTCTGTTAAGTTTGGAAGGATCTTGACAGCCCTTTGCCAAGAGGTTTTGTATGCAAGGAAGAGAAGGTGAATTAGGAAACTTTCCCAGTTTGTTTTATTCCTGAAGCTTAAGTACTGAGGCACACTTGAATGGAAGATGGGAACTCATTTTTAAAATGCATTTGATGAGTCATGGGGTCCAATTCTTTGCATATGTATATTGTAACATTGTTAGAATAAGGGAAAACAAGACATTTAGTACATTTATGGACAATTTCTTAAGTTAGGGGATAAGGTGTGTATTTTGCCGAATATGGACCAATGGTGAACTCATTCTAGTTATGTATAGAAACAATTTAACTGGGAGTCTCCAGAATAGAATTGTCATGTTGGGATGCACCAGCAGGTGGCAATGTGTCCAGGTCTAATCATAGGAAAGTGGCTTGGAACCCTAATCTGCCTCTATTCTTTCCAAAAATAAACATTACAAAATTAGCTGGCTGTGCCCTGAACTTTAAAAAAAAAAAATCCAGCAAAAGGAGAGTCATCATTGGCTCTGTTTATCTTTTCTATTTTTTTTTTTTTTTTTTTTTTTACCCCTTTCGAACGTCAGCTTGAACTCATGCATCTATTCAGGGATAATGATCCTTTCATGAACTGTTGTGGAATGACTTTTAGAAACAGCATTGTTAAGAGGTAATTGTTTCCTCTCTCCACATCCACTGTTTATTAGACTGGATTTCCACAAAATGGCTGAAAGTCTCTTTACCACCGACGCAGGTTTAATCTCAGAAGTCAGAAAAGAGTTGGATAAAAGGGATAGCTACTTTACACAGGAAGATTGGAGAACTATATTTGTATGTGGTACTCCAATTGTCACAATGCTGAATAATTTCATCATAAAACTAGATAGTTATCTAAAGTGTCTACCCTGTACAGAAAGAAACCAGAAAAATAATTAAAATTAAGAAGGCTTCAGAGAGAACCGGATGCTATTTACTGAATACTTATACTTTATTTTCTTCTCTCTCTTTCCACAACAAGCTTGTTAAGTCGCTATGGAAAACACCATGCTTCCTCAATTTGGCAAATAATACACTTCGTTTTGCCAAGGCAAAACAGCCTAAAAGCAATATTTATACCAAGAAACGCTGGCCCTAGTCCCCAAATCCTTTCTTGCCAGCCCTTCGGACCTCCCTCTTCCAGCCCAACCCTGGCAGCCAAGGCTTGTGCGTGACGGGCTTCCTTGGAGGACGAGGCCAGCAGGTGCCTCAGGTGAGCGGTCATCGCCAAAACTTGTCTATGCTGGGGTTTGTTCCACGAGAGAAGGAGGCACCCGGACCTGAGCTCGCGTCCAGCAGTCAAAAGCATGTGATAAATGTTGTCAGGAAATATGAATAAGTACATCCTCCTCAGGAATAAAAGTTTCCAGGACAAGTGGGGCGGATAATATCAAAGACCCTATATCGTGAACTCCTTGGGATTGGAGAGAATGCTCCTTGAAGGTCGGCTGTGTTAAAGCCGACTCGGTGCAAGTCATTTTCGAAGGTGCACACCCCAAGCACTCAGAGGGCCGGAGAAACGAGGCGCCCTGGGTGGGATTCCCAGGACCAGTGGGCTGCCACTTCCCTCGGGCCCGCAGAACTACTTTTTCGCTCCCTCGAATATGGCTCGGCGGAGGCGTCCGCGCGAGGGCGGCGCGAAACCGAGACGGCGCGCGGGCGGCGGATGCGGGGCGCCGGCGGCGCGGCGGAGGGATCCCGGTGAGGCGGCTTCCCGAAGTCAGAGGGGAGGAGGCCCAAAAAGTCGGCGGGGGAGGGGACGAGCTTGCTCCTTCGCTCGCTCGCGGTGGACGCGCCGGGGCCAGGGAAGACAGAACCGGAACCGGAACCCCGGCGCGCGCTCGTAATTGTCGCGCGGCCCCCACCGCCCGCGGCCTCCTCCGCCCTCCACGCGCGCTCCCGTGAGGGCCCCCAGGACCCGGCGTGCCGGCCTTGCGTTGGGAGTGCTGCAGTCGCCGCCGCCGCCGCTGCCGCCGCCGCTCCCGCTCCTGGGCCGGGGCTTCCAGGCCGGGCCAGACGGGGACTTCAGCTCCTCGCGGGAATCGTCGCCTGCCGGAGTGTCGGGGAGGAGCCGCCGCCTCCGGTGCGGACTGCGGAAGAGTCCGGGCCTTAAAGGGATGGGGAGCAGCCTGCGGCGCTGAGAGACCCGGTTCCTGTCACCTGGGGCTGCGGGACCCCCTCCCCCTCAGCACCCGCGACTAGACCCTGCGCTTGGATCCTGGTGGGGGCTGCGAGAAAGACCAGAGGGGCCCTGGGCCCGGGGACATGGGGCTGCTCGAGACCGGCGCGGGACGGCCCGAGACTCGGCCGAGAGTGCGGCCGCGAGCCGCCGGCAGTCCCAGATAGAGAGCCGGGGCCAGAAGGTCCGGTCCTGCCGCGGCTGGCAGTTCGAGGCCCGGCGACTCCGGAGCAGTAGGCGACGCCCGTCCCTGAGCCAGTTCCACCCCAGCCCCGGAGGGATTCTCAGGTCCCCTCCCCACGGCTCGCGGACTTCCCTCTGTGACGAAGTTTTCTCCTTGTGCCTTCTGGAGGATTTTATCGCTAGCTCTAGAACTGCCTTCCGCTGACTCTCTGGGTTTGTTTTGGGAAATAACTTGTTTTGCTCCAATCCGCATTCCCTTTCCTTGACCCTCATCAATCGGATGTTCTAGATGACTGAATGGAGTTTTGAGTTGGACTTTTGTGTCCCCGCCGGAATCGGGCCTGATCCTAGAGCACTGGGGGTGGGGTGGAGGTGTTACCTTAAAATGCAAGTTGGATAAAAGGAGGACCTCTCGCCAAGGGCCCCAATGAGTGGCACACAGTCGACTATCACGGACAGGTGGGTATGAATTCCTCCTTTGCTTAGCCTCGCTGGATTTGGCCCGATCCAACAGGAAAGTCAGTGATGGCAGATTGCCTTTGGCGGTGAAGTTGACAGGCATAGGAAAAAGGAGCTGTGCAATTAGTCTAGGGGTTCGGCCAAGTTATCCGGTTGATTGAATTTGGAAATGTAGTGCTTTTTGGAGAGAAACTTTCCCCGAGAAGAGTTAGGGGAAACCACGATTGTGTTTTTCTGTCTAAAGTGTGCATTAGAATTCTGTACCCATCTTGAAGCAAGAGGAAGGTCATTTTGGGTGAAGGTCAGTTCTTGAAGTCCATGGGTATTGGTGCATCATTGGATTTACTTCTTAAACATTGTTACATTTTTGAAATTTCTATCCTTGGACTTAATTTTCAGCCTGCTGCATGGTGATTTGTGAACTTGATCTCTTTTGAGTGTTGACCCGAAGTGTTTAATTATTAATTGTCTAATAATTTTCCAGAATGTTGACATTGCCAGTAAATCAAAGGCTCTTGCCGGAGGCAGAATCCAGGAGCTGAAAGCAATGAGGGAAAAAACTGTGGGACTTGCCTTTAATTATATATTTTCATATTTCATCTCCCAGAAACATTTAAGTTTAAGGGATGGAAACTCTAAGCAAGGCGCAAGCATGGCAATTGGATTTTGTTTACTTATCAATGTTGCAGGATGGTGTGTATAGATTATGTGTGGTTGAACTGGAGTTCCCTTAGTCTTTAAGAGTTAATCATAAGTTAAGGGATAAAAGCATATTGGTTCCTTTACCACATTTTATTTCTGAATTTAGTTAGGACTATATTACTCCCAAATTTCAGTCAGCTCACTTTTATATTGAAGTCGGCCTTCAAACTATTACATCATAAAAATAGATCAAATAACTTGAATTTAAAGGCAAATCTCAGGTGAAGAGTGCAACAATAGTGTTCCTTCAGAAAGTAGTTTAATTTCCTAATAAGAGGGTTTCACCCAATTGTAAGACTCATTTGTTGATTTTAAAAGGGCCAAATTCCATTATCATACCATAACAGCTACTCCAGAAACAGAACTTCCTCTTCCTGTTGATGGCTTTGCAGTGTCACATGAATGTTCACCTAAAAGATTCCATTAAATATTTAAACTATTTGTTTATCCATTGCATATTTTGGTAAGTGGGCTTTCATTTTCAGTGAATAAATTTTTAATTTTTCTGAGAATACACTTCACATGAGTAGTGTGTTCTTGTTTTATTCTAGTTATCCCTATTTCTTTTCCTTTGAGGGTGTTTTGCTTCTGAGAAATCACTTTCACGGGTGTGTGGATAATTGTTTTCCTGGTCCACTCAATTCTTGCCCTTTTCGTTGGACATGTAGACAAGAAGTCTTACTAGGAATTGATGTGGTGTTGATTTTCATTGAGGTGCTGGGTGTTTAATTTGTAGAAACAAAACTTAGGGTTACCAACTGATTCCTTACAAAAGTCACTTAAAAGCCCCCAAGAAATGATATTTCTTAAGCATTGCTTCTCAGGTGTCTCATTTTTTGGAAATAAAATCTTGGGATTTGTGTCCTTTTTTTGTAAATTAGATAGTGTAATAATATTTAATAGCCATGCAATTACTGAAAGCCTGTTCTTTGCCAGACATTGGGCTGGGCACAAAAGATAATTATTTTAAGATTAATCTTTAAATTGTTTTGAGGATTAACAATGGTCTAGGTGCTGCTCAATGAGGTAATTTTTATTTTAAATTTATTTTTAATTTTTAAATATTAATTGTTTTGGTAGTGGGGATTGAACCCAGGGATGCTTGAACCACTGAGCCAATGTCCCCAGCCCTTTCTATTTTGAGACAGGGTCTGGATAAGTTGCTCAGGCCTCACTAAGTTGCTGAGGCTGGCCTCAAACTTGCAATCCTCCTGCCTCAGCCTCCTGAGTCACTGGGATTACAGGTGTGTACCACTGCACCTGGCTTATTTTTTTTAAACATACTATTTTTTTTTTTTTTAGTACTGGGGATTGAACTCAGGAACACTCTACCCCTAAGCTATGTCCTCAGTTCTTTTTTTCATTTTGAGTCAGGGTCTCATTAAGTTGCTGAGGGTCTTGCAAAATTGCTGAGGCTAGCCTCTAATTTCCAATCCTCCTGCCTCAGCCTTCTGAGTCACTGGGGTTACAGGCTTGTGACACTGTGCATGGCCTTTGACATATTTTTCTAAAAGGTAAAGAAACAAATCAGAAGCTGCTTAATTTTGCTGAGAACTGTTTCTTAGGAATTTATTCTAATATTTTAAAAATGGGAATTATTATATGACTTTTTTTTAAACACACCTTATCACCTTATTCTATAAAAAATTAAGCAGCCATTTCTCTTCAAGAGAGTGATTCCTGATTTGAATATACATTGAGGTGAGATCTGGAAGTAATGGTTTTGGTATTATTTCTATGCCAGGGTGCCTTAACAAAATTATAAATGTAGAATAATTTCTAGCTTCCTCTCAACCCTACCTATTTCATTTTTTTCCCCCACTATCTGGCTCTAATTTGTGCTGGGTGTATTTTACTGATTCTGGGACTATTGGCAAATTAATAGTGCCAGTGTAGCTTTTTAGAGATCCTTTCAAGTTTGAAGTACTCTATGTGGTATGGCTTTGTTCTGTAGAGTGTACAGAACCACCAGGCCAGCTGTGTGAGTTGGAGTTCTTTCATTGTGGTGCTTCTGACTACAGAGTCTGTCTGTCCTCAGTTGAAATCAGACTAGCTGGTTTTGGGCGTTGTTCTGTTTTGCAGTTTGTGGCAGGCGACACATGGCTGAACAAGATAAGAAGGGTTTTATTCTTGTGTTAGGGACGTGCTGGGGCTGGGATGGAATTCAGCTATGTTTAGTCTCTGATTGGTCACTTTGGATACTTAGAACTCTGTTACATCCTGTTATTATTTTGCAGTTAAATTAACACATTCATTTGCTCCTTTCTTTCCCCCTTTTTCTTTTACTCTTCAAACCACTTTTTTTTTTTTTTTAAACTTAAAAAACTCAAACTACATTCATGGTAGCTATTGTTTCTATGTGGTATATCTGAGCAGCTTTAAAAAAAAAAAATCTGGGACCAAGGATGTAGCTCAGTGGATGAGTGTGCTTTGCCTGTGATGTACAAGGTCCTGGGTTCAGTCCCCAGTACCACCACCAAAACAAACAAAAACAAAAAAACAACAACAAAAAATTAAGTCATTGATGTATGTATACCTTCTGGTCGCTTGCTTTGTAACTTCTATGAAAACCAGAAGACTATATAAGTTTTCAATATTTAGAATGAGCATTTGAAAAGTGGTAGAAATGTCTGATTGCTGGTTTTTAGTCTACATTAATTGCAGCCTTCAGACCTAAAGTATATCCTAATTGTTTCTAATCTTCCTTTCTTGCCTTTCTTCTATTCCTGAGAGCTTTTCCATGCTATGATAATTAGAGTTTCTTTTGAGGGATAATAAGGAGAGAGTTCTCTTTCAGTGGACTCCATAAATGATTTTATGACAGATTCCATAACTGAATTTTCAAGTACAGGACAGGGCAGGAAAGTTATAAGGGTCTTCCTTGAAATAAATGGATCTTTGTTTTGTCTGTGACTTATGGATTTTTCTTGTTTTTGATTTGTAGATAAAGTTTTTTGATTGTAATGGAATTTTCTTAGCACTGAAATCAGCTTTAAGCTTGTTTAACTCAAGCAAACTTTTAAAGTGAATGTGGAGACCTGTAACTTTATATGCATGTACTAAGTAATTAGCATTTTTATTCAGGATACTTTTTCTGCCACAGTTGCCATATAATAATGCTTTTGGCTAAAAAAAGAATTCATACTTGTCTGCTGTATTTAAGGTTGTATGAGTCATTATCTGCAAGGTGAAATTACTTGTAACATTTTCTTGTAAAGCTAGTCGGTTGATTAACACAAAATTGAAATAGGGGATAAGGATCACAGTGCTAACTTTGCAGTATTTTATTTTTTAGTTTAGTTTTTTTTTTTGGGGGGGGGGGTACTGAGAATTGAAACCAGGAGTGCATTACCAGTGAGATACATCCCCAGCTTTTTCTTTTTTTTTCTTTTTTTAAAATTTGTTTTATTTTGAGACATGCTCTGGCTAAGTTTCTTAGGGTCTAAGTTGCTAAGGCTGCCCTCAAACTTGCCAACCTCAAGCTTGAGATCCTCATGCTTCAGTCTCCCTAGTTGCTGGGGTTATGGGCATGTGCCACCGTGTTGGGCCTGCATTGTTTTATTTTTGTATTTTAGTTCATTATAAAATCTTGGTTCATATAGGAATGCAGTAGTGCATCCACTTGTACATTTTTCTATGAGTCCATATATAGAGTACAAAGCAAATTTTTAAAAAGTATTAAGTCATGTAGTTTTACTAATGGCACACTTTTAAGAAATTTATTCTTTGAATTGACAAGAGAAATTTTATTTGAAATCATTTCAAAAGTATGTTAACCTGGTGCTACCACTTAATCACTTCTGTGGTTCCCAGTTGTCAACATATAGTCTATAATTTTGAGTTGACATGTAGGTTTATTTTTGTTTTTTTCTAAAAACTACTTTTGAATTTTCAAAAAAAAAAAAAAAAAACAAAGTATGAGGCAGATGTTCATGGAACCTATAAATTTTACATTGTAGATATTCTGTGAGCAAACAATTGGAAAAACAAATCTTTGAGTATACATATGTGATTGCCATGGGTCACAGAAATAGCAGGATATTTGAATGGTTCACCAGAGATAATTTGAGGCATTCTTCTGCAGCTAATAATTTTATCTTATTATAGACACTTATTACCATGCTAGGGGTCTTGCTCAGTGGTAGAGTGCTTAGCTAGCATGCAAGAGGCCCTGGACTCTGTACTCAGGACCACACACACATATTAAAAAAAAAAGTTATATAATCGTTTCTCTCCTAGAAAGTGGCCTGCCATGTTTTCAGAAATATGGAACAGAATTAACTTCATTTGGTCTCATC